AGCCAAAGAATAGTATTTCATAGCTTTCTTGAAATTTCAGTTGTGACCCATAGTGCTGCATTACACTTGACACCTTTAATACCAGAATAGAAACAACCCTGGAAGAAAAGGGAGAATACTCAGACTTCCCTGGTCACACACCACTAGCTGCCCCCACAGCATTATCCATTTATGAATTCCAGACTAAATTGTTGAAACTTGGCATGTTAGAAAGAAGTCCTGAATGTAACATCAAATACAAAATGCTAATCTGTTCTTACACATCTCCAGATAATGAAGAAACTTGGAAAATTAGTTAGTCTAGCAAAGGGAAACAATAAGCACTTGTGCTGATTGACTGAAAGGCAGTTCAGGTTAGAGACAGGGTCTTGTAATGTAGCCCAGGCTGTGACCTCCAATTTACAATCCTCCTGCCTGACTCCCAAGTGCTGAGGTGTAGGCAAGTGCCACCACATGCAGCTCAGGTTCATTAATATGTCGTCTGCTTCCCAGAGACCATCATGTTAAGCAAGGAATGTCAAGATTTTTAGCCGGGGCGTGGTGGTGTACGCCTTTAATCCCAGCACTTGGGAGGTAGAGGCAGGCGGATCTTTGTGAGGCCAGCCTGGTCTACATAGCGAGTTCCAGGACAGCTGGAGCTACAGGGAGACCCTGTCTCAAAAAGACAAAAACAAACAAAAAAACAGAACTTATTTTTCTTAAGTCAGTGCTACAATACAGGCTATAGATATGACAGACAGTTGCTCCCAAGACTCCACCTTTGAGTCATGGTGACTACTCTGAGAACTCATTGGCCTCTCCAAAGAAAACTGAGATTGAGCTTTCCAAGGACTGTGAAACTTTCCTAGATCAGTGATTATGCTTTGTGCTTGACCAATGAACTTTTTTTTTAATTCTTAAAGGACTCTCTGAACTCCTTAATAGGACACATTCTGTTCTCTGCTAGAATCCCCAACTTAAAATTCTGAGCACTAAAACTGTTTAGTGCAATTTTTTTTAATCATTAGTTGTCTTGAGCCTCTGTGGATCACAGTATCATGATTTTGATTGTTTAAACATATATTTACTACCCCAGGCTCAGTCTACTGAACATCCTTCCTGTCCCCCCGCCCCCATCCACCTATTTAACTCCCAGTCATGCAGTGGCTCCCTCACCTTGCTCTCTGTTACTGGGTCTTTCTGTTCCGCCCTGTTGCTTAGGAAGAGCAAGGATGGAAGCAGAGTTTACTGAGACTTATGGCCTACGTGCCAGCTCCCTCCTCGGGCATTAGAAATTCCAGAAAGGAAACACCAACTCTGTTTTTGATGGAGTAGATGCTTTCATTTTGGCCTTACCATCAATGTTCAAACTCTTGTTTACTAGAACCACATGGGACACACACCATATTTTTCCTGTTGTGGACAGAAACCTAAAAAGGTTTCTCTTGAGCAGCCTATAATTTCCTACGTTCACTTTAACAGTTGCTTTGTAATTAATTGTATGAGAGCAGATAATGTCCTCTCTAGTGGTAGTTCCTCTATTTTGAAAGTATGTGAAGTTTGGATGACAATACAATTTATGATATATATATATATGGTACTCACATGCTTCTGTTCTGGGTTTAAAAATGTTTCATAGGTTATAGTCTGCCAGAGTAAGCTTAATTCCAAGCTCTCTGTTTATAATATTGCCCAATTATCAAAGCTGGGATACATTATCACTGCCAGTTACTCTTCCTGTCAATTTGTCTTGGCTCAACTATGGTTCTATTTGTACTTTAATGTAGTGAATGCATTGGATTGGGTTGTTAGTTTAACAAGCTCTCTGGAGGACATTTTCATGATGATGTATGTTGAGATATGCTCAGAGGTTGTAAAATTATCTGCATATTTGCCAAAACCTACAGAAATGCATTCACTAGAAATTTTTTAAAGGGTAACTCTCAACCTTCAGATGAGGTGAAGTTTCTCTTATTTGATAATTACCTGGGCAGATGCAAGCATGGGGTGTTAATTCATGAGTCCCAACTGAACTTCTTGAGTTTTGATTTCGTGGTTTCTTCCTTCTTGGAGTTTACTGGGTAGATTATTTGATGTTTAAGAAAGTATTCTGGCTGGGCATAGTGGTACACACCTTTAATCCCAGCACTTGGGAGGCAGAGGCAGGTGGATCTCTGTGAGTTTGAGGCCAGCCTGGTCTATATAGTGAGTTCCAGGTCACCTGGGGCTACAGGGAGACCCTGTCTCAAAAAGACCAAAAAAAAAAAAGAGAAAGCATTCTGATACACTCTAGTTGACTTCTGTGCAGCTCACCCTGTTCTGGAAACCCATGATCCTGGCCAAATACTGAACTTCGACTTGAAGAAAAATGCTATCAGATACTGGAATTTACTGGGCTGTTAATATTTATAGCATGTCCAGCTGGCTGATCAATGTGCAGTAATCACCTCCTGTGCTCACCTTAACTTACTGCATCAAAGTTCCAGATTCATAGCTAGGAGTCTGTATTTTTAAATGACCCCAGAACTTTCAGATTGAGGAAATTTCTAATATTTTGATCTGTTGATTATCACTTAAATGTGGCTTGTTCTAGTACTGCTGGAGCATCCCTAATCCAAAAATCTAGAATGCTCCAAAATCAGATACTTTGGAGCCACAGGGGAACATTCCATACCTGATCTCCTGTGGGTTACAGCCAACCTGTGAGCACACTAAAAATACTGTGTGCAGTCAGCTTAGGCTGTGTATGAAGTGTAACACAACTTCGTGTCTTGGATCCTCTCTCTAAGACACCTTGTTATGCATGTAAAATCTTCAAGAATCTATTAAGAACACCAAAAACCAAGAGTTCTGTTTCAGTCATTTTATATGAAGGATATTTAACCTGTATTTCACTTTTTCAGTCTCTTTATGTTCCACATCCATTTAAAAAATTTAAAATATATTTTACTTTCCTACTTAAATCCACCAGCTCATATTGTCAACTCATGAACATTTTTAAGTGCCCACTATCAACATAGTCATAGCCAGACAAATGATGGTGACAGATGACAAGATTCTTGGAAGCTTAAATTCTGCTGAAAGAGAAGAAGATGAAACCTAACGGAAAGCTTTTTCCAGAGACAGTCCAGGAACCCTTTAGCCTGTTGGCAAATTCGCTTTTCTTTTTGCTGTTAAACAAAGGATCACTTACGTAGGAACACTCAGAAAGTAGGAAGTAATTATAGGACTTAAACTTCGTCTTCTGTGAAAGCCTGTAGTGTCCCAGAAGTTGGAATGTTTTCATTTAACAAAAACAAAAGCTTTGCGCAGAAGTGGCACCTTGGGGGAGGTATAAAGGGTCTGGAGAAATCCTAGGAATGTGGGGACAGTCCTCTTGCAGTGGTGCACTGCCTCGTGGAGCTGCTGCTTTCAAGTCTCAGTTGCCCATTTACGAGGTATAAAGGGTCTGGAGAAATCCTAGGAATGTGGGGACAGTCCTCTTGCCAGTAGTGCACTGCCTCGTGGAGCTGCTGCTTTCAAGTCTCAGTTGCCCATTTAAGCTTTCGCTGGCGAATTTGACATATGTAAAAACGAAATATTCATTCGAAATGCTCTGCTCTCTAAGAGGTCATCCTAAACTTTGCAATTTATTCTTGCCTCCTCTTCAGATCCTTGCGTTTTCTAGGCGATGTTGGCCAGTGATAGACGTCCTTCTTCATTGCTGCCTGTCGTCGTCTTTGGCACGCAGTTCTTCTCCATCCAGCCATTTATTGCTTCTGGGTGGTGTTCTATGTGCGTGAGCTTTGTCTTCCTATAAAACTGCACACTCTGACTGTGGGACTCACCTCTGGTGGTGGGCAGTGGGCGTTAAGTACCTTTTGAAGTTGCCAGCATATATACTTGGTTCTTCCTCTCTTTAAGTACGTCCTGTTGGTGTCCTGTGCCTTGTAAGGGTTGCTGCCATCATAGCCGTGCTATAGGAAAGAATGGGCTAATGGTGGACTGCCTAGGTCAGATCTCCAAAACTCTATCCCCATGGACCTCGGTGATACAGCTTCACAGAACAGGTCCTGGAGCTCTTTCATCTTTCTTTCCTTTTCGGTGAGTAACTTCAGTGACATAAAGCCATATTTTAGGTGGCTTACAGTTATGCCTGGTAAATGTTCCTTTCTGTCAGCTAGTCACCTGGAGAGACTTTTCAAAATAGATGTGCAGCATTGGCCTTTGCGTTGTATTCCTTTGTTATCACCAATACTGCTGTCCCAGGGCAAGGTGAGAACTACTGGGCCTTCACGTTAGTATGGTAGCTTCCTGTTTTGGAAGGTAGGCTGTGGTCGTTGGGAATGTTGGGCAGGTTGATGGTGGATCTGTATCAGCTTCGTGTTGTGTTGATGGTCCTGATCTTACAGGATGAAATTACTGCTTCCCAAGCCTTCATCTTCTACCTAATGAAAATCTTTTGCATGCTCTTGGATTGTGCCCTGCATAATCTCTGGGCCACACTGATCCCCTGAAGGTGCTCTTCATGCCCACTTCTTACAATGAAACTGGATTTTCTTCCCCGGCCAGCAGTGCTTTCTTTATATACTAAATTGATCTGTACTTTTTTTGTGAAAAACCCTTTATTATTCCTTAGGGAGTTTCCTTCTTGATCTAAGGCCAGTTTTACAGTAAACTGGAAGGTACAGTGACCACTGAGATCACAAAAGGACATGTGCCTCCTGTGTAGAGGAACTCCACTTCCCAAACTTTGGGTGATTTCTTCTCTCCAGGATCTAAATTCCAATTACGTTTTTATTTTTTAAAACTTAACATGTGAGACTTAACTATGTTTTATGAAATTCCTGATACTATAAAGAAAGACTTTGGAACTCTGTAGACTGTTCCATGTAAGACCTCAGGTTCAGCACGCACCACCACCACCTGCTGTCACTCCTGCATACTATAGGTTGACCCTTTACTTTGTTTTCTTTCTTCGTGGTCGCAGCTATGGGCAGGTGGGAGATATCTGACTGATGTGCCTACCTTTTTGTTTCTAGGTGGGCCATGCACAGATACAGCTCATGTCTCGTTAATCACACCAACCAAAAGATCCTGTGCTACAGGTATGTACACCATCCTTACCTGAATTCTTCCCAGAAGTTAGCCATTGGTTCTAACTTGGTGTGCATACCCCAGGGGATTGTCTAATTTTTCCCCCCATCAATTATGAAAAGATACTTGGTGTTGGGATTGGAGTTGGAACAGAAGTCAGAGATGTTCCGAGGGGTCAGGTTGACTGCATTATACTGGTAGCTAACTCCAAGACAGTGGGTATTAAAATTTACCTACTTGCTAATATCTGAAGACTATTAAGACGTAAAACACACATAAAATGCTGATTATTGCCCAGTTTGTTTAAGTCTTAGATCTATTAAAAAACAATGTTTAAATAGTGTCTTATCTTGATTATTGTGGTTTCTTAGTAGTTTTGAAGAAAACACCTTCTCATTCATGGTAGCCTAAGGCCTTTCTTTTCAGGTGCATAGAAGTCTCCCAAACATCTTTGCATCTGTGATGTTTTTATTAAACAGGAAGTCATGTGTCTCTGAGCTCTCTAAATAACAGTTCTAATGCCCATTGCTCCCTTAGCTTATAGCTTAATTTATTTTAAATAATGTTTGCTTTTTCAGGTAATACTGCCTGCTGTTTAAAATATCTGAAGGTTTATATTTAGAGAAGTCAAAATAATTACATTGTTTTCTAAAGGTCACAGTCAAAATATTTTTCATAACTTAATCCAGCCCTTTTAGTTCCCCAACAGAAATGGCACCAGCTATTTCCATGTGCATCTTAAAGCCCCAGTCCTTTAAATACTCATAATTTGCTGTCAAGGCTCATACAAACCTGTCTTTGTGCAGATTTAGAGTAACATCCAGGTACTGAACTCGAAAAAATTTAATCCAAATGGCCAGCTTTAAGGCAGATGTGTGCATGCGAGTCCAGCATGCTCTCTCCACCTGTGTCCACTGGGCAGTAGGAAGAGTGCATTTCTTTACCTGAAACCAGGAAGGGACTGCCAGACACTGTAGCTCTGTGTCCACCATTCAGGGCTGGCCGGTGGTGGTGGTGGCGTCTTTTAAGCACCGCCAAGCCTGACCAGCCCTGACATGTGCAGTACCTTGTGACCACTTTATTGAGCAGGTTCCCCTCAGTGGCTACCAATGCCCGGCTGGCACCTCACATTCCTGGCATCTTCAAAATCCTGGGATCTCTACCGCAGCAAGCATTTGGAACTTGAGTAGTGGGGACCTTTCCAATTGAAGCCATAGCAATAAACTTTTTCACACATTGTGTGTGTGCTGTGGGCACCCATTAAATGGTATGGGTAGATATTTTAGAAAGAAGAGTAAACTAGAAGTATCAATACTCGCCGAATGCTCACCTCCATTAATTGTATTATGTTGGCCACATTGTCTCTGGCATCGCAGTAGAAGCTGAGGGTGGATTTTTAGGTCGATGTACGTGAAATGAAGAGAGAAGTATGGCATTCTCAGGCACCTTTCTAAGCCTTTGTGCAGGTGAATCCATGCCTTAACTACAAAAAGACTGAGAAGATTGATGTAATGTCCAGATCATCTAAAAAGCCTGAAGGAAAGTTTAAGGTTTCTCAGCATGGACTTTTAAAGTTCACCCTGCTATGCCTTTAAAAATGTAGCTGGCTAGGCCTGACTTTAGAGGACGGAGCCTTTGATTTTGAGAGGAAAATTAAAGATTTGCTCTGAGAACAAAGGCCGACTCAGTCCCCACCTTACTCACTGTCTTGCAATCAGCATGTTGCCCATGGAGCAGTTCTGGTAATTTTTCTTCTGCATCACTAGTTATTGCTATGTTGCTGGAATGTTTCTTCTAGTCTTTATGTTTAGATTCTTTTTTTTTTTATAAAGACAATTACAAATCTATAATTTTAAAAAATATTTATTTTTATTTTTTATGTGTATACGTGTATGCCTGCATGTAGGTAAGTGCAGTGCACCTGTGTTGTGCAATGCCTGCGGAGGACAGAAGAGACTGTCGGATCCCCTGGAACTGGAGTTATGGACAGTTGTTAGCTGCTGTGTGGGTGCTGGGATTCGAACTCGAGTCTTCTGCAAGAATAGTCAGTGTTCTTAATTGCTGCACTCTCTCTCTCTTGAGCCCTGTGTTTAGATTCTTCAAGAGTAGGATTTATGCCTCTAACATGCACTGTTTGGTGCTTCTTCTAAGAAGTCCCAGACAGATCATGCAGGAATGTAAGCAGTTACCTTACAGTTATATTTTCTTAGGAGCCAGAGCTTGAGACTTGAGAGCTGACTGATTCAGCTGATCTGTCCATTCAGAGTTTGAACAGAAGCATCCTTCAGTTCATAATGATATGTATTAGAAAGGGATACTTAACTGTACCTATTAGCCCGCTCTGTAATCATAGCACTTGGGATGTGGATTAAGAGGATCTTGCCAAATTTATGGCAGCCTGGGATATATATCTATATTGAGACCTTATATCTAAGTTAAAAAAAAAAAAAAGAATGCTTCAGCTGGAATAAAGTAAATCTTAAGTCATTGGTCTCTGAATAAGGGCACTCACATGTAGTCTGAGGCACAAGGATCACCAGTAAAAGACCTTTATGTTAGCCTTTTTTGATAGAGTCACATATATGTGTTCCTACAAAAAGCTATAAACCAGGTATACATATACATACAAATATAGACATGTCAAAGGATCATGCCTCAATATTTTAGATAGGCGTGTACAGTGACAAAAGACTTTGTATTTTTATTCCTAAGGTCAGCTTTAGACCCTGTGTTTGGTTTAGTAAAGACCTGATGTCCAGTGACTGCGTTATGATCTGGTAGGAGGCGTTGTCACAACAGAGAGGTGCCAGTGGGGTAGAAGGGGCTTAGTTTGTAATCATTAATGTGGGAGCCGAGGATGGACGTAGGAAACCAAGATACTTCTCTGTGAGAACTGACTCTAAGATGCAGATCTCAAATGGCGAAGCAAACCTCATGGCAAACCAAAGGTAAGTGCCGCTTGTGAGCTAGGTGGAGACTTCAGAGCTGCATTTTAGCTACTCAGAACTTTTAAACAGCCAAATTCCCTGCAATGTTTAGATGGCTGGAAATAAGTAAGTACTCTAGTAATTTTGATAGATAAGCTGGGAAAACTTAAATGGAAGGATGTGTGGCTGTCTACATGCACCCCCCCCCCCCCCCCCCCAGTGCCCTGGGCAGCCTGTAATCAGCACAGGGTTGAAAAATGCTGCTGAGTCTCAGGTTGCTTTTGGTTAGAAAGTGAGAGTTAAAGCGTGTCACACCTTCAGATTGCTGGAGAGAGGGCTCAGAGTGTTTCCCATGTGTTCCCTTGTAAATTCTCATAACCTTCCTGCTGAGAACAAGTGTACTGTAAAGGAGTGTTATATTCAGTGATAAAGTCACTAGAATATTCTGTTCTTCATCTTTTCTCTTCACCACATTATGCCATAAACAAAACTTGATAACCTGAGCTGTGGTCAGAGGCCTTATCCACTGTTACTTGGAAGGGGTTTGGATATTTATGTGTAGAGCTTGGTGTGGTCATACTTTTGTGGTTAAAGTGTTTCCAGAAAGAAGAGAAGTGACCTTTTGTTAGGTTTTCTTATTTAAAGACTTATTTGCAGAGATACAACAAAAGAAATGTTATTTTGTATTTTCATTTTTTTTTTTTTATTTCTTACTCATAGACCTCAAACTTGAAGTTGTAGTGGACAGAATTTTAGACGTACTTGGGGGAACCAGTTTTAGATGTACTTGGGAAAGTCTGTTCAGCAGTCTTTAATCAGTGACTAGCCAGACTCCACTCCTCAGCAGCCTCCTTGTGCACTGCCTAAATCCAATGGCAGACATTTGGCATATGAAAAAGGAAATTGCTTCCTTCACTGCTGACCACTCTTACAAGGCTTTTATTTATTTTTCATTTTATAGTCTCTATATTTCTGAAGTTAAAATGAGAAAAGAAATTATAAGCAGGTTTGACTCGACCACATTGTGAATGGATTTTCTCCATCTTTCCTCTTTCAGAGAATATCTTGGATAGGTTGCTATTCTCTCTGATAATTTTGAAAATACTCAGGAGGCAAAGGTAGGCAGCTCTCTGTGAGTTCTAGGCCAGCCTGATCTACAAAGCGAGTTCCAGGCTTGCTGGGGCTACAGGGAGACCCGTCTCAAAAAGACCCCCCCCCCAATGTTGTATGCTTGTTAAATGTGGGTAGAGTCACAAGTAAAATAACCATTTGCAGGACCATAAGGGACCCGTAGTGTTGCCTGAGATAAAACCACATGGAATACTCTGTTAAGAAGCATGGAATTCAGGACTGGAGAGATGGCTCAGCGGTTAAGAGCCCTGGCTGCTCTTGCAGAGGACCCGGGTTTGATTCCCAGCACCCACATGGTGGCTAACAGCCATCTGTAACTCCAGTTTCAGGGGAATCCAACACCCTCTTTTGACCTCTGTGGGCATTGTATGACACAAGTGCACTTAGCATACTTGTAGGCAGTACACTCATACACATAAACTTTTTTTTACAAAACCAGTTTACTAGCCGGTTGGTGGTGCACGCCTTTAATCCCAGCACTCGGGAGGCTGAGGCAGGCGGATCTCTGTGAGTTCAAGGCCAGCCTGGTCTACATAGTGAGTTCCAGGACAGCTGGGGCTGCAGGGAGACCCTGTCTCAAAAAGCCCCCCCACCAAAAAAAACCAGTTTACCGAGTACCCTTGCCTGCTGTGTTTGTTCTCTTCCCTCGTTCCTGTGGTTGTCCTTTGGGGTCACCTATTTTCCTTTCAGCTCAGTGAACAGTGCTGTGAACTAGAATAGCCCTGTATTGTTCGTTGTTCCCCACCCTACAAACCTTTCTTCACTGTTCTGGGCCAGCCTGCCTGCGATATTATTGTCTGTTCTTACAAAAACAGAAGAAAGCCCCTTCTACCCGGGAGTTCAGAGATTGATGTGCTAAACACTCTCCACATCAGCACTCAGAAGCCAGTTAAAGGGAGATGTTTCAGTGCTGTTAGGTTACCAAAAGGTTTATGTAAGAACTTTTCAACTGA